TGATTTAAGGTGAAATCAAGAGTTGGACGCTTAACCACCCAGTAACCAACTGAGCCACCCAGGGGCCCCTCTGTCATTCTCTTTTAAGGTGGGGTTCTTATGCTTATTTATAATAGCATTATGTTGAATTTTGTTTTTACATATTTAATGTAAATGGAATTTACCCTACTGATATGAATCATGGTAACTAGTACGTGTGGTATGTGTGTGGCCCCTTCCAGCCACATTACTCTGTTTTCTATTTACCATGCTTTTTTCTTCTCTGTTAAACTGATCAAGTTTTAATCCCTCCTTTTCTTCTTACCTCTAGTCATTTGGGGTTATTACAGCTCATATTCCCATTATTTTAGAGGGTAGCTTTAATATTTTAAATCATATTTAAGCTTCTTTTTGCCATCAATCAATGCTTTTGCCAAACATCATCATTCCTTCTCAAACTTGTCCATGTTGGGATTTTGGTTCCGGTTTATTATTAAAATTTATTTTCTACATTTTGTGTGAATGATTATTTTACACATTGACAGGTTTTACAGGCAGAATTCTTTGTCCATTACTACTTCTTGGGCTCTGGGTTTTTCTCTGTTTCAGATTAAACAAAGGTTTTTACTACAGCATATATTTGAGTAATCCTTTCAAAGAAAGGGTCTGTGGGTGGTAAACTGACAGAATCTGCTTGTCTGAAAAATGCCTATTTGGTTTCCTTAAAATTTTAAAGGTCATGTTCTTGGCCTTCTAACCACCAGAAATGATGACAATATTGATGAGAAATCAAATTCCCTTCACAATCTTGTTCTTTTTCAGGTAAGTTGCTTTTTTTTTTCCATTCTGAAAGATACTACTGTGGTTTGCTCCTTATCAAATATTTCATCAGAATATGGTCTTTCTGATTATTGATCACATTCATCCTGCTTGACCTTTGATGGGTCTTTTCAGTCTGAAGGCTTGTGCATTTCTTTTGTTTGGGAAAATTTTTCTTCTATATTTTATGCATTATTTCTTCCCTCTATTATTTTCTTTCCTTCTAGATTTATTAGACAAATCAATTCTTTTAACCTTTCTTGCATGGTTTCCATGTCTTTTTGCTCTCTATTCCAGTTGATTTCACTGACTTGCTCTTTCAGAACACTGAATTAGTACTCAGCTGTGTGCTTTCTATTATGCATCTAATGAATTTCTTTTGGCACTATGTTTTTAAATTTCCAAGAATATATTTAAAATTTTCTAATTGCTCCTTTTTCAAAACAAGCAGTATGTTCTTGCTTTACAGATGTAGTGTTCTCTTAGATTAGTTTTCATTTTTAAAGCTATCTCTTCTCTTTCTCAAATTGTCTAATCCCTTCATGGTGACTCTTTATAATGACCTTGAGCCTTCCCTTTCAAACTGATGCTTCCCCTCAAAAGTCTGGTTCTTCTAAGCTTAGTGCATTTATATTCATAATGAAGGACTGGTTTAATTAACACACAGAGCAAGTCTGCTATCTATTACCTATATGTTATTTATTAATTTTTTTAAAGAGAAATTTATTTAAAAGATTTTACTTTACTTATTTGAGAGAGAGAGAGACAGAACACAAGTGGGGGGGGGAGGAATAGAGTGAGGGAGAAGCGGGCTCAATGCGGGGCTCAATTCCAGGACCCTGGGATCAAGGCCTGAACGGAAGGCAGACACTTAACCAACTGAGCCACCCAGGTGCCCCTATTAGCTATATGTTAGACAAGTTTCTTACTCTTACTGTGCCTCAGTTTATTCACCTCTAAAATGGGATAGTAATACTTATCTCATGGGGCTGTTCTGAGAATTAAATAAATTAACACAAGTGTTTAGAAAAATGCCTAGTACACTGCAATTGTTTGATACATAGTACTACTACTGTGGGTTTCCACTTCTCTGGTGGGCTAACTTATGTTTCCTTGTGGGTGAGATATGACTGGTTACACGGATATGAAGTTGGGAGGCAGACAGGCAATGGCCTTCTCTCTCCAACAACAGGTTTAAGAGTGACTTGCTCTAGTGGTAGAGAACTGAGAATATTACTCTCTTGGATAGAACTGCATTTTATTTCATCTTTGATCATCCTTGCCTCCTTCCCACAAACTCAAACTCTGCTGTTGTTTTAGACCCCCACATCAGCACCAAAAATCCTTCCAGGAAAGTAGTTCATTTTCCTTACAGTGTAATTTTTAGATCTCTGACTAAATGTGAATGTTGCCTGCTGCTAGGGTAAGGCTGGAGAACTGGGGATTGGAAGTAGTTCTTCGATTTCCCGATGACTGTCTTGCTTTAACTTTTCTTTTCACTTGTTCACTTTGTGCTTGATATTCTGCTAGATTTGTTCTTACCATTGTTTTCTTGGGTGAGTGTTTTGCTCTGTGGTTTTAATTTTCTCTGTTATTGTTTATATGCTCCCATTTGCTTTCTAAATGCCAACAATTCTTCACAATTTCTGGTGAGCTAATGACATTGTTTCATTTTCTTTTTAGTACCCATTCTCTTTTAAAGAATGTGTTTCTGTCTTTTTAGTAGATTTGGGGCAAAAAAGAGGGGTGGATGCTAGTGCTCAGCCCTCTAATTTGATCCAAGACATACTATTTTTCATACCAGTTACCACATTAGTATCTCCATGAGACCTGTTTATGCACTACATCTACATTTAGAGAGATACATTTACGTATATTATACACATTTTAAATCTCAATAAATTTAATCAAGGACTCAATTTGATGACCATTTAAAATGCAAAGCAAAAAAAGAAACATTAATACTTATCAAGTATTCATATAACTACATATAATAGTTCTATCTATATATATGTATCATATAACTATAATGATACAGAATTAATCTAGAGACTAAAGTAGAATCATTTTACTCCTGTTTCTTTTCTTTTAATAAATACAAGTGTATCTGAAAGGCTTACAGTCCACGTTCTCAGCATTTCTGAAGGCTTCTTACCAAATATGTTCTTATTACCCATAATTTTACCTATTGATTTGTATAATGTATTTCGAGGAAAAAATTCAATATCAGCCATTCTTGCTTTTTTTCCCTTTTTATTGAGCTACCAAGACTAATACAGCACATCACTAAGCAAAAAGTGCTATTTACTATGCAAAAGGCACAGTCAGTGATTGGCATCTAAGACCAATTGATCTACCCATTACTGCTATCTCCCTACCCCCACTAGCACTACTATGAAGCTATTGATTTAAACACTGTCGATCGGTTTCCATTTTCTGATTTTGGGCAGGCCAATTAAGAAAGTGAGTAATTGTGATTACATTGCTTCAGGATCAATTACATTTGATGCAAGACAAAGTGTTCTTTTTGGAACCTACAAAAAAATAATTTTTGATCTAGTATGCTTATGCATTCAATAAAATCTAAAATAATTTATACATTTACAACAGAAAAACATATTAATATAAGTGCTTATAATAGCTAAGGCTATTTTCTATGTAACATAAATTCATCATTTTCCTAAAATTAGTTTAAAAGAAATTGAGAAAAAATTGTTCACATACACTCCTCAATGAAGGACAAAAAATCAAATACTACCTACATACTTATCCCTAAAGGGACGTAGTTTATTATCAAAGATAAAATGCAAATCTTGTTCAATGGAACTACAGAGGAAATCCCTGTAATGAAAATATATTTAAGAACCCCCACCTCATTATATAGAAATATAGCAGGTTCTTTATATAACTTGATAACAAAAAAATAATTTTTTTAGTTCTTAATTTTGCCCTAACTTGGTGCATGAGCTTTGTCATTGGGCTCATATTGTTGAAATCACGAAAATGAATATACCTCTGGTGTTGGAGGCAAATCTATTTAGAGTGATGTTACTCATAGTCTTGTGCTCAGTAATATTGATCTGTGTTGTTTGTCTAATAGAAAAATAATAAACAATTACTAGGCAATGCTGGGAAAAGTAATCAGTTTTTATATATCACTAACATAGCAGACCTCCCAAAACATAAAGGTGATGATCTGCATAAAATCAATGTGTTATGCTACATTGTTTATATTCATCATTGCAGGTTCTCAGCAATAAATGGTACAATATTAGTCCTGAATTACTGGTAAACTGAACAGGTACATGCAAAAGAAAAGTTCACTATATTTAACCCATAAATTTATTTAAAAATGTCTATTGCCTAAACTCGGTGATTTTTATCATAACAAATTCTGTTGTAAGCTAACTAAAATTTAGATAAATAAAATGTTTAAATACTTGTTAGAATAAAAACAAAGCAACTTCAAATCAAAGTAACACATCAGATCCTAGATCAGAAAAATGTAAGAGTTCAAAGATAATTCTTAAAGATGGATGAATATGGCTTTGTATTAATTTGCTAATAATTTCTGGACTTCATTAGAAATGTATAAAACATTACATGAAAATGATAACAATAATAAAATCCAATCCGAGAAAGGTTCTTTTGAACAGTATTCACCCATGAAACCTTTGCCAACTGCATAAATGTTCTCTTTCAAGTTTTATCAGAGGCAGTTTGTAAATTAAAGTAAAAAGGGGAAAAATAAAGTAAAAAGGGGGAAAATGTATGGGTTTTAGGTACTGACAGAATCAATACTTCTCTACTTAAGAGGCTCAAGATAACATAAAGGATATTTGAAAAGATATCTTCTCTGGGCTATTCAATATTACTAAAATTTTTAATTTCTCCTGAATTTGCTCATGAATTTTTTAAAACTGCAGAGTTAATAATTTAAAAAATCATTCAGCAGTAGCTTCTTACTTTAACTGTGAATTTCAATCATATATGGCTGACTGTAATAGCTAGTTGTGCAACAAATACTAAAAATACATATGCTACAATTTGTACAACTATTCCATTGTAGTCTAATCATTGCCAAAGAAAAGCACATTTGTTTAAATGTTTTGTCTCTCAAAGAGAAAAGCTGTTGAAAGCCTAGCTTTTGATCTGCTATCCTTTACAGGTAATATAAAATACAGGAGAACAATTGAACTCACCACAACTGGAAACTGGCAGTCTGAGTGGAATCACAAAAGTCAATACCCATTGAAACAGTAATGGATCCCTCAGGCTCAAGAGATTCTAGGAAGTAAGACAATTTAGACATGAAAACATGGAGGATGTGAAAAAGAGGTAAACTCAACCCTGAAAACTTATATAATGTTTGTAGTGTGGTTAAAACAGTCAAATTTAATGATGGCTTACAAGAACAATTTCAAACTAAGAATATTAAAGCAAATTATAAAGTAATTTCACTATTCTGCTTGAAGGCTTTCTTTTCCATAACTTAATTCTGCATGTATTTCTATCTTTTTCAGAAATACATCACTTCATGTTTTACGATATTGTCTTTATAGGTACTGAAGGTGAGAAGGAAATAAATGTAATCCTGTTTGGAACAACTATAAAGGACTCTCTGGGTGCTTTTAAGAGATTATGTACTTAAAACTATGGAATATTTATTCTAGATATAAAACATAAATTTTAAACCATGTTCCAGATTTCAAGTGGAAATAAAAATCCAAAATTTAAAAATGCAAATTAAAGCAAAGTTGAAAGAAGAAATCAATTTGTATTCAGAAATTAACCAAGACAACTGGCATTATAGGAACTAAAGTAGTAAGTCTAATTGCATTATTTGAAGAATTATTGGAAGAAAATTTAGTAGCAGATTAGATCATAAGAAAACAAGTAATAAAATGGTATCTTATAGGTTTAGAATTTCCAAAGCTTCATCTGTCAACTAAGCAAGAATGGGAAATAACTGTATCAATAGACAATACTTGTACTTTTCAGTTGACAAGGATGAAACTCAAGATCAACAACGTTTTATTCCGCTTATGATTCCAAAGTTTGGCTATACATTAGAATAATGAGGGATCTTAAATATATAGTATAATATATATGTAACATATATAATAAATATATTTATACTAATATGTAATATTAGTGCTAAATATTAGTATAAAGTATATATTATATATTTACACAGAAACCATCCACTTTTAATTTCCACCTTGCTCAAAGTCTTCAGTATAACTGCATACTGTACAGCAGCTTTATATTTACCTTTATGTATCTTAATAAGACTGTAGTTATATTTTAGCAAGGATACTCTAATCCTGTAGACTATGACTATCAAAGGGCTTATTGGTAAGTATGGTTTGCCATTTAATGCTAACCATGACAGAAATGATGGTACAGATGGGACAAATAATAATTCAATAAGCTTAATATATGAAGAAGTATATTTATGTCTCACAGGTTCAATGAAGATCAGGATTGTTAGAGAGTAATTGTTTGATGCTGATTTTAAAACGTTATTGGTTTGCTAGTGGTATGTATGTTGGTTTGCTGATTCCAATTTGAATTTCATTTGTTTATAAACCTAAAATTTATCAGGATGCTCCACAAGTACCAGAAGACTTGCTGCCTAAATCTTTAGCAAACAGGCTTTATTGTAGAGCAAGTAACTGCAATGATATTTTTCTTATATTTCTCCTAAAGCTACACCTTATCAGTTCACAGCTCTGTCAGTCACACTGCTTAGTCATGTACTTTAGTGACTCCTTAATGCTTTCTTCTGTGCCACAGATATATTGGGGTTTGGTCTCAATATTATTTGTAGCTGACACATAGGTACCAAATGCGGTCATCTCCAAAACATGATGGCATTCATGATTTAGATCTCTCTACATCATGTATCCTTGTATTTCATTGGACAAAGTGACAGTTTTCAAGACGTCTTGTTGATAGCACTCTTTGACACAAGTTGGTACCATCTTCAGTCTTAAGATAATTAACTGTGAGCTTAGTACCACGCTAATTCTGGAGGACAGCTCATGATCAATGGCATGTTTTATTATATGAATGCTTCAAGAGCAAAGTGATCAGCATAAAATTATTTATATAATGGATTTATATTATTTGAAGCCTACTACATTGGGGAAGTTTATGTATTTGGATGCTACCTCTGGATCAATGCTATACACATAAAAGCGTTATACAGAAACGGCTGAAAAACATGGGCTCTATTACACCAGCCATTAATAATGAAAAAGAAATCACACAGGCTTCCATTGACTTTGATATGACAGTTGTCCAGTAACTAATAAAATATTAGCTGAGCTCAAAATTGTGAATTATTAACATAAAGTCACTGAATATAGTGCAGAAACCCTAAGGCTTGTGTGTGTGTGTGTGTGTGTGTTTTAAATCTCTTATGTACTTGGTCTCTTTGAGAAAAATGGCATGGCACATTATTCCTAATACTCTTGTAACAAATCCAGTTTCATGGTAAAGGCAGGAGAAAATCCAAACCAAAGTCATACTATGGACATATTATAGACAAAAAGGAAAACAGACTGGTGACAAATAAGAAAGCTGTTGGACTCCTTAACATATGCATATGTGCTTATTAAATAAATGTCTTCCCTCATTTCACAAAAAACATTAAAATATAGTATTTGTTCTTTGTTGTATTCTTAAGATGTTTTTGGAGGACTAATTAAGATATATCATACTCTGTAACACTACTGTAATCTATTGATAAAAGAAACTAGGTGGTGTTACTGCATGGGAAAGAACTCTATATCCTGAGGGTATTCAATAAAATACCAACAAAATGAATAAAACATTACAGTCCTAAAAGTTTGCCTAAGAAAAGAAAAGCCTGTGGCTAGTACTGAGGCAATGGTATAGATTCATATTTTATATCTGTGTTAAGGCCATACTATGAAATTTATTATATTTATTTCTTCTATTCTACATAGGCCAACAAAAGGTCAACTCATCAACTCATTATGCCAGCTCAAAGAAATGTTAATACTGTTCTACTGTTTTAACCTTTGGCTAACATTTTCAACCTTCAGACAATTCATTTATCAGCTGCTTGACATTTCTTAAACTAATTTTTTAACTAGGTAAAAAATGCTGGATTTTAAGCATTAAAAAAAGAACACAAATTGGGATATTCTAGAACTCCTAGCCAATATATTGACTTGACAAAGTAATTAAATAAAAATCAGGACACTCTGCATTCATTAAATGGTGTCTTAATTACCAAATTATTTTTAAAAGTGTATTAAAAGTGGGTTCTAGGGGCGCCTGGGTGCCTCAGTCGGTTAAGCGACTGCCTTCGGCTCAGGTCATGATCTTAGGGTCCTGGGATCGAGCCCCGCATCGGGCTCCCTGCTTGGCGGGGAGCCTGCTTCTCCCTCTCCCACTGCCCCTGCTTGTGTTCCCTCTCTCGCTGTCTCTCTCTCTCTGTCAAATAAATAAAATAAATAAAATCTTAAAAAAGAAAAAGTGGTTTCTAAAGTCAAGTCACTTTAACTACTTTGGTTGCTTATAAACCACTACCATATGCATCTGTTAGGAATTGTTTTATTCCTTTGTACAAAAATGTAACACAAAGAGTGACTTCTTTTACTGAATGAATCATGAAAACTATAGGAGAGAATTCAACAATGTCAAAGAGCTCGGGTGAAAATGAAGAAAAATAGAAGAGTTACAATGAAATAATGAGTAAAGAAGGCACCACTGCCTGCTTAAAAGGTTTTGCTCACTTAAAGTGAATAAAAAATAAAAAATATAAAAAGGAACTATTTGGACCTTTCTGATGATAACATTTCAAGGATTCAGTGACAGAAACCTTACATCCATTTTAATTAATATTATTGCCTGAAGCTTCTCCCAACTAAACTCTAGCACCGTTTTCACTTAGACAAACAGAAAAAATAGAGGTAGACATTCTAATTATTACATTAAACTCAAAGTAACACACAATTGTTACACTTAATTTTTGAAAGGTATATTTCTGGTAAAATACTTAAAAAATGGAAGGAGATGACAGCTGATGAGCACAGAGGTCACCTAGAAAGCACATGGTGCATCTAAGTGGCAACCCCCTCTGCATCAGGTGGTGGTGTTGCAGGTGGGAATAAAGGACCAGGACTGTCAGACCTTGTGCTTCATTCCAAAAAAAAGGTGAGATTTCTGGTTTGCTTTTTAATGTAAAAACATCTTGATTTCTAAATGGTAGCAACAGATTAAAAATATTTTAAAATATGATGTGTATAAATATTGTAATACACTATGGGCAATTTTCTAGTCTATGCCTGGAAAGAAAGACAAACAGAATATCATGCATACTCTCAGCCTTTGCTGTCTTCACTTTTCAATTTATGGAATGGGAAAGGAAACAGGGAAGGGGAGACAGGATTCAAAAAGGCAGACTACACCCAGGCAGGGAATTAAGTTGGCCAGGAAGAGAAGCAGAGAGAAGGTGATGACAGTAAAATGAGAGGCAATTTTGTTTCTTCAGATGCATCATCCTTTCATCACTACTGGTACATTTTACCATTGCTGGCACCTGATTCACTAAGAACAAAACAGTGCATTCATTTTGTACGATAAAGTCAGTTTATTTAAAAGGGAAAACAAATATAAACTGACTATATTGACAAATAATAATATGTATTTCACTTTGCTTGTAAAACAAATATATTTAAATATCAGATATAAAGTTTTAAATGAGAATTAATATTTACCTATTGGAGTAAAAACATGCATTTGCATTCCCATAGGAAGTTTTTTCTCCCCTATGTGGATATTTTCTATCTTCTGATCAGTAGTATTATTCAGTGTTATTTGTACAGAGACCATCTTATCACCAAAAATACAAGGCTGTCTTGGAAAGAAATAATGGGCAGCTAGTCCTCTTCCACTCATCCGATGAAGCAACACATGAGTTTTCACTGGTACAAAGACAGGAGTATTGACCTATTGCACATTGGAAAAACAAAGATGAATTAGTGATTATAGTTATTCTCTTAGAAAATATTTAAAAATTACACATTTAACTATCCTATTTTTCCTAAAGTATTATATAAGCCACAGTAACAAATTTCATACCCATAAATATTGTCAGAAATTATACAAAAATGTAAAGAAAATGCCTTTAAAACAGCATTAACATTTTTCTGTAGTCTGCAACATATATTAAAATATTTTGGGGCGCCTGGGTGGCTCAGTTGGTTAAGCGACTGCCTTCGGCTCAGGTCATGATCCCAGGGTCCTGGGATCGAGTCCCGCATCGGGCTCCCTGCTCTGCGGGGAGCCTGCTTCTCCCTCTCCCACTCCCCCTGCTTGTGTTCCCTCTCTCGCTGTGTCTCTCTCTGTCAAATAAATAAATAAAATCTTTAAAAAAAAAAAATATTTTGGTAATATGTGCCTAATAAGAATAAGCTGTTGTATATTCAATTTTTTTAGAGTTTATAAATTTCATTAGATTTTTTCCTAGGTACACTACATTTGGGCATCTTGCTAATTTTCTTATTAGTTTTAATAATTTATCAGTTGATTTTCTCAGATTTTTGAACTGTAAGATAGTATCATCTACCAATAACAAACATCTTGCACCTTCATTTCCAATCTCAACTCCTTGAACATTTTTCACCTTGAATTTCTTTCACTGTAAAATGAAGACTATCACCTCCTTTAAGGTGGTTTCTTCCTTTGCTTTAATGATTAAAAAGATCTTCCCTACTTTGAGCTCAGGTAACTATATTTTCTTCTAGAGCTTTCATGGTTGCAATTTTTAATTTGTATGGAACTGATTTAGATATATTGACCTCTATACTTAATTTTTTTCTCCAAATACTTAACCAATTGTCTGAACATGATTTAATGATTAGCTTTTCCTCAGTGACCTGTAAATGCAAACATTCTCATTATTTAACATATATGGGAGACATTTTTTGACCTTGATTGAGTTGTTAAACCAGTTCCACATTGTTTTATTTCTTACAACCCTACAATATGATTCAATTGTTTGGCAAAACAAAGTGTCTTGTATCACTCCATCCCCTACCACCCCACCAGTATTTTCTTGGCTAATTATCTCTTTATATCCTTCTGTTGAATTTTAGCCTCTTTTAGTTAAATTCTCTGCTCAATCTTGAGTGGATTCAGAGGGAGCGTATTAAGTGAAGAAACACAGTCCTTTCTAAAATCATGTGATGGCTATCTTTCCATTCAAAGTCAAAGTACATGTGGCTTGACCTGACATGGCACGCTTCAAAAAAAAAAAAAAAAATCAATTTGTAATTAAACAGGCCTAATCAAGATTTTTTCCTAACAAGTGTGCTCTCCCAAACTAGATTTTCTATTATGAGTACATTTTAACCTATTCAACATGTTCATCATACCAATGATACCTGACATTAAAACTTAATAATATTAGTTATTTAAAATTCATCAACAAAAATCTAAGAGTTAAATATCATATATACAAAATGATAAGCAGTGTCTTCTAAGCATCATTAAAATATAGTATTCCTTCTCCAAAAGCTCAACTTGTAAGAGTGAGCAATTTAAAATTATCATCTTAAAAATGCACAAAAGAGCTTACTTCTAAAACATTACAAATAATTAAGTACATTTTAAATTCTGGCTATCTAAAGTAATGGGGCAACTGGCCTATGCATTCTACTTTGGCCTTTTGAGGATGCTAGCAGTCTAGCACTTTAAGTTTTCAAAGCACTTCCACTTCTAAGCTTAGGTTCTTTTCCATGTATAAAAATTATTTTCAAAACTCATTTGTTTCATTGCTCATGCTAAGTTCTATTTCCTTTACAAATTCTGGAGAGTTTAGTAGCATAGCCCAAGACAGCAATCCTTGGCAGGGAACATTCATTTAAAGATATAATGGACATCATAAAAATAAGAAAACTGATACAGAATATGTATGTGTGTGTTTGACTGCCCAAGTATATATACACATATTTATAAATTTATACTCAGCAAAAATCTTAAATTCCCACTGAGGCTATGATAATCAACCTTAAACACAAGCCTTCAACTGGATAATCATATTTTTCAGTATCTTATGTTTACTCCTTTAATTAGATGATAACATACTGGAGACAGTAGTTCTTATTTTATATTCTTCATTGTTCCAGAAACACATTGTCATTAAATCATTAAATACATGCTGATGAAGCCAGTTTTTCTTTTATGAAAACTCATAAAAGATTGGGCAACACATTATATGAGGAAATACAGTTGAAAGCTGGAGAGAGGCAAGTGTAGAGTAGTAGAAGAAAAGGAGAACAGAAGCAGGGGTTTGGTTTACAAGCAGCTAGGAATCAGCACTTAAAGATCATATAAGGTACTTAGAAATATAAGGAGGGTACACCCTAAGTAACATAAGACCAGCAACATGTCTTGGTTGGTTTATTGATTCTCTCTCAGTCTAATCCTGGGACACATAGTGCAAATATCTTTTCCTACCCTGTCTCAAAATTCTGTATCTTTATTATAATTGCTAAAAAGTGTTAATGGATGTGCAAAAGGAATACATAATTTTTTCCACTCATTCTATCCATACTCACTCAAGTTCAAGAAGCATTATCTAGTAAATTCAACATCTGAGAAAGGGCCTCTCTGACAATCCTCAAAGGTTAATAGAGGTCTATATTCTCAATAAACAGCCTCATAAATAGCACTTCGTGGTAATAATACATACGTTTTAACTATAGAAAGGGGCTAACTGGAAATGTTGATTTTTTAAACCTGTTTTCTAAGATTATACAGATCATATTAACTTCCTCCACTATCTAGATGAATTACATAGGTGATATTTTGTCCAATAAAACCAGTAAGCTCCATAAATCCTTCAACAATTTTTACATGCAATACAATTAATCCTAATGTGAAAACAAGATTTTAGTTCAATATTTTGTACATCAGATATCTATATTCCAGAAACATGTATGATCTGTGGCTGTTTATATTCTAAGATACTAAACACTGTGAATGGCTCTTCTGACTTTGCATTTTATAAATGTCAGTAATCTTACTAAATGTACAAAATACAAGGTAAAGGTAATAAATTAATTACATAAAGACCTAGATTTGGGTTGTGAAAATAAGGGCTTATTTAAAAAAAAAAAAAGGTAGATATTTAACAAGTTTGAACAAAACAGATCATCTTAGGTAAGGGTTGGCAAACTACAGCCCGCAAGCCAATAATGGCCTGCTGTCTGTTTTATAAAGTTTTACTGGAATACAGCCATACTCATTTACATATTGTTGATGGTTGGTTGCTTTTTGGCTCTGCAGCGGTAGAGCTGAGTACTTGCAGGGCTTACCATCTTTACTGGTAGAGTTGAGTACTTGCAGAGCTTACCATATTTACTATCTGGACCCTGTACAGGAAAAGTTTGCTGACTCCTCATCTAGGGGCACACATGTTACATACTTCCTCTTCTCCTTCCCTTCTGTTGTTGTTGGGAAACAAGTCTCCGCAGTCTCCCATGTTTTTGAACATCTTCTCAGCAAAGGTATTAACAACTTGGTTCCTGAAAATCTTTTCAAGGATGTTTGTAGAGCAAACAGCCTTTGGAAACAGGAAAATGCCTCCCTCCAGGGCAAAGCTGGGACAGATTTGCTAAGGGCTCTTTATAAAAGATTGGGATCTTCTCCTGTAGAGATTCCTCTCTTGTAAAGCAACACATCACACGTGGAGTCATCACGTGGCCTTCATCCTGTCACCCTGTGGGAACTGGGGCTTAGAGAAGAGGCACATGAATGATGTTTCTGGCTACTGCTATTGCTGTTAATAAACTGCCCTTTGTCTTTGACACAGTAGTCTCCCGTCTTTCACCAGTATCCATGAAATTATCTTAGGCTAACTTGTTTGCTTGCAAGTAGGGTTAACATCTCATATCCTTCACAGTTCTTCATACCCATTTTTTGGGGGTCACTCAACAATTCCCAGATGCACTTATTCCAAATAGCTAAAGTAACTTTTAGTAGGATACCATAAACAGATGGGTAGGGCCAACTGCCTGAGGGGTGGACATGAACTAAAAATCGAGCTTACATTCAAGGGTGCCTTTTTGGAATGTGCAGAGTAGCACCATATGAACTAGTGGCTTTGCTAATGAAAATACTACTTTAAATAGTAGAAACTAGTTGTTTTTTTTTTTTACTTTGCTTTATGAAAGTCCATGCTATGATCCGATTGTTTCTGTGAGTTTCTTAAGTATAATGATGTATTCTGATAACTGACGATGAGATGTCAAGAAAGTTCTATGACACTGAAGAATAAGAATAATTACATGTTTCATGATTGCTTTTTTTAAAAGATTTTATTTATTTATTTGACAGAGAGAGACACAGCGAGAAAGGGAATACAAGCAGGGTGAATGGGAGAGGGAGAGGCAGGCTTCCCACGGAACAGGGAGCCCGATGCGGAACTCGATCCCAGGATCCCGGGATCATGACCTGAGCCGAAGGCAGACGCTTAACGACTGAGCCACCCAGGCGCCCCCATGATTGCTTTTATCTTGTTCATGACTAAGTGCTGCTCTTTTGAGGGAGTTTTCCTCAGTATTTTACCCTGTAGGGTTATGTATGGGATTATTTGCTTAATACACCCTACTATCTTCCAGGAACCTTTCCACATTTAGTTCTTGACGGAGCTTGCATGTTCTTATGCCACTTCATGACCTGGTCACAGTTAACTGGTTCTGGAATAGACATCTGGCCCAATGATTCCCTTTCCCAAGATTTTTGGGTTTGGGACCTGATTAGTCAAACCTGTCTCTCTCAAGTGGCTAAAATTCTGAGATTTAAAACTTTAATGTTTCTGGTCACATTTCCTGCCATATTGTTCTGCAGGAAATAAAGCAAATTTCAAAGAAAAGCACAGATGAGAGACAGAGAGTTCTGCTGGTATCTTTGGTTTTTATACTTCTTGAATCTGACACATTCTT